CGGAAGACCTATTGACATGCGAAGTGTTTACCGATGAATGAGAAGTTTTGGCTTGTTTTTATACCGGCCACACTGGGTCCTCCCTTTAACTCGAGAACACCGACGTAATCGCCTTGAGTGGTGCAGACAACGGTCACTCTGGGATCAGGAATGGAACAGTATCGTCTTTAGTGACGAGTCTCGATTTTGTTTAGGCATGCACGATGGTCGTGCCAGGGTTAGAAGGCGACGTGGTGAAAGGAGGAATCCACAGTTTTTTGTTGAAAGACATGTTCATCACACTGTTGGAGTTATGGTTTGGGGTGCTATAGCTTATGGTTCCAGGTCACCTTTAATCTTCATCAGAGGTAACATGAACGCGCAGCGTATATCCACGAAGTTCTAGAACCCCATCTTTTACCCTATCTTGACACCCTGGCAGATCCAACTTTCCAACAAGATAATGCCCGACCACATGTTGCAGGAGTCACAATAGACTTCTTTCAACATAATGATGTCACATTGTTACCATGGCCACCAAGATCTCCCGACTTATCCCCAATTGAGCACGTGTGGGATATGGTGGGTAGGAGATTGCTCAATTTGCAACGTCCTCCTCAGACTCTAGAAGCACTTCGAGAGGAGTTGGTGGTTGCCTGGAATGAGATACCACAGGAGGACATTGACCACCTGATCAGAAGCATGCCTAGGCGCGTTAGAGAATGCGTAGCACATCAGGGTGCATCCACACATTATTAAAGGTCAAAGGGCTTTAAAGCAGTGCAATCATTTTGAAATTTTTATCATTTACTTATTATGCTTCATTAAGTACTTATACAAAATTTTATTAAAATAAAACCATTTAAACTGGGTGTTCGGATTTATATGTCACTTAGTATGTTATTTTCAGTTCCACCTGAAACATTTGTATTTGTGATTGGAAACAAATAAAAATTATTGTTAATGAAATTACTTTTTATTTTGAAACCTCATCTCAAATAAAGCCACGAAAAAATAATAAACGATTTTGGGAAAATTCGGTTTTATTTTTTATCTCCGGAAGTACGAAACTTTCTATGTGTCACACGGCTTTAGATTGGATTGGGTATCTTCAAGTGGAATGTTAATCAATATTGACCATGGAACCTCTTTACCACATACAAAAAAAAATCTGTAATACTCCTCTCGTTTACACAATAACTCAAACTATTTATTATCGTCGGTGATCTGTCACTTTCCTATCGATATGCCAATGGAATTCCGCTGAGCTTTCGCCCGTGATACTGTCACGTTTTTAACCTGCTAGATGGACTCGTCAGGTTCCAGCTTTATGCCAAATATCTTATATGTATGAGAATAATTGAAATTGTACCTTTTTTAAAGTTACTTGAAGACCACCACTGGCACTGGAAAGAGGTTTGGCTTTTTCATCACGGTATGGGAGTGAATCGTTTTTACTCAAGCGAAAAATGATTTAATCTAACTTTAATTAAACTTTTAATAAACAATTTTCATACTATCGCGTGATCTTCAAGAAATCTTAACTTCAGGTTGATACCGAGTTTGATACCACGCCTAGACAGAGATATTGCGGTGCATTATTCAGCATTACAAAATATGTGGGTAAGTAGATTATCATGATTGTGTTTTATGATGTATACTAAGTGACATATAAATCCGAACACCCAGTTTAAATGGTTTTATTTTAATAAAATTTTGTATAAGTACTTAATGAAGCATAATAAGTAAATGATAAAAATTTCAAAATTATTGCACTGCTTTAAAGCCCTTTGACCTTTAATAATGTGTGGATGCACCCTGATGTGCTACGCATTCTCCAACGCGCCGAGGCATGCTTCTGATCAGGTGGTCAATGTCCTCCTGTGGTATCTCATTCCAGGCAACCACCAACTCCTCTCGAAGTGCTTCTAGAGTCCGAGGAGGATGTTGCAAATTGAGCAATCTCCTACCCATCGTATCCCACACGTGCTCAATTGGGGATAAGTCGGGAGATCTTGGTGGCCATGGTAACAATGTGACATCATTATGTTGAAAGAAGTCTATTGTGACTCTTGCAACATGTGGTCGGGCATTATCTTGTTGGAAAGTTGGATCTGCCAGGGTGTCAAGATAGGGTAAAAGATGGAGTTCTAGAACTTCGTGGATATAACGCTGCGCGTTCATGTTACCTCTGATGAAGTTTAAAGGTGACCTGGAACCATAAGATATAGCACCCCAAACCATAACTCCAACAGTGTGATGAACATGTCTTTCAACAAAAAACTGTGGATTCCTCCTTTCACCACTTCGCCTTCTAACCCTAGCACCACCATCGTGCATGCCTAAACAAAATCGAGACTCGCCACTAAAGACAATACTGTTCCATTCCTGATCCCAGAGTGACCGTTGTCTGCACCACTCAAGGCGATTACGTCGGTGTTCTCGAGTTAAAGGGAGGACCCAGTGTGGCCGGTATGAAAACAAGCCAAAACTTCTCATTCGTCGGTAAACACTTCGCATGCCAATAGGTCTTCCGTGTTCTGCAAACCATTCATTTGCAATGGACCTGGTAGTGGAGAAACGGTCCCTTAAGGCCAATAATCTTAGGCGGCGATCTTCACGGTCTGTTGTTCTACGGCGGCGTCCAGTGCCCCTTGCTCTTTGCGTACGGCATTCTCGAAGCCATGCCTGACAACACCTAACCACAGTGTCTACACTTCTTTGCACTCTAACTGCAATTGCCCGAAAAGAAAGTCCAGCTTTCCAAAGTCCCACTATACGACCCCTATCAAACTCACTAAGTTGACGAAATCGTACAGGTCTCCGTACTCTAGGCATCGTAACCGATCGTAAAGGATGTCAAGAACCAAAATCGGCCAACGTTGATTCTTTACTGCGGCTGAAATATTCATTTTTAGAGCGTTAGTGAATTAAAAAAAAGCAGTATAAAAACCGGAATGTCAAACTGATAAGGCTGAAAATTTTTTCACTTGTTATTTACAGTAAGATAAATACATTCACCAACTTTTATTAAAATAAAACCATTTAAACTGGGTGTTCGGATTTATATGTCACTTAGTATATCATATAAATATATCTTTGTCACTCATTTTCATATGTGGGTGTCCCTGCCGCTGCGAATTTTTCAAAATTTAATGGTTTTTTTAAACTTTTGTGGAAAAGACTATCGAGGTAGCCGTAACGTCAGTAAACTGACTTTCTTCTACATATCTGGTTTTATTTAGTGTTAACCATTAGTAGTTAACCACATTAGAGATTTCAGGAGTACCATTCAGGTAAAATTGCTTTTTCAGTAGCTGTAATAGTTGGATGACATCTATTTTTCAAGAATGATACACTTTGTGATGGCACGTTTAACACATTGACTGCGAACTGGGATGAGGATACTCACCTGAGAAACTGAAATACTTTTTTTGGAAGCCGGCAGAGAGCGTCGAAAGACGCCCTTCGCCTCCCGCCACAGGAGCGGAGGGCGTCTTTTGACGCTGTTCGCACTGAACGTGTTAATGCACGTGTGCAATGTTGGCAATAATGAATTGGATGTAAATCTAGTAAAACTTGCTTGTAAATACTTTTCTAAATAAAAGAGTTGTTAACAAGTAGAAAATGAATCTGTAGCGTAGAAAATACGGCTCTGTCTACCTGGCGTTGACGGATCCGTCAGAATTATGTGTCCTTTGTCGCTATGGATACTTTTGAAATATTACTATAGTGTACTTACACCCAAGATAGAATGGATGCGTGATTGCCAAAAGCAAGGACGGCGTACAGGGCTGCATTCAGGTCTACCTCCGAATGATGGACTACCACCAACGTGTTGTAAAACAAAGATGACAGTATTTAACAGAAACAGAAACTTAACAAATTACTCAAATACACTTAACAACAACAACAGCAACAACCAAGCAAGGTGAATACGAAAACACGAGCACGCAGTGATACACGCGACGGACGGTGGCCTGAGTGCAACTCTGCCTGCCCTGCCCCTGCTCCGCGCATTATTCCGCCAGGCGGCCGCTTGAAATTTAATGGCGAATTGACCAATAAGAGGCGTTGTCCCCACCTGTTACCGAGAGATCGCGCGCTAACTGTTATTATTTACATCTCATCTTGAATTTGGATTCAGTTTAGATAATCAGCTGTCATTCTACCATAATTTATACTAGTGAAAAAGACAATACATGTATTCGTATGAAGCCAATCCTGTCTTGGCTCTCGGAAATCTAGTGGGCTTAGAAGATAGCGCAGAGCGTCTGAGCATTGAAAAATGTCAAAATAACCTGCTACAATATTTATGTCCATTCCACTCACATTTTGCCATGCTTTGTGGGTTTATTACTTCGTGGTTTATTGATATTATCCAAAATTTGCAACTCGCCGGAAATGCTAAAATTGGAGATATTATATATATATAGATAATTGGAGAGACGCCACATGCGCAAAAGCTAAAATTCATTTTCTGCGCAGTATACAGACGAGAGAGATGCCCTATGCGCAACACCTTAAATTCTTTACTCTGGTACTAACTTACTTCATGGTCGACATTAGCTTTTTTCGCGGAGCTAATCTAGAGCATATTCAGAACACAAATAAAGCACCTCCGATATGTTTGAAATGCGCCAGCGCGTGATGTAATTAATTGGGAATTTTTAATGTCCGCGAACAGCAAAACCTACCAAATTCTTTCTGCACAAAAGTAAGGTTAGAGTTTTTGTTTTGATTTTTATTATTTGAATTTAAGTATTTTTTATCAAGTCCAGCAAGTGTATCGCCCATTTTTTTAAAATGTCTGATAAAGGAGGTAAGTTTTTTTAACCCATCAATAAATAAATAATTAAAAAATTACTATTTTGTTAGATCTGTCAGAGTTTCTGCTATTTCCTTCATGTTCTCAAGACCAGGATGAAGTGGAATCCTTTAAATGGAATTACACCAAGACATTTATTTTTTGGACCTATATAAAAAATATAGACTTGGTTGGGTCTTAAAAATTTAAAACAATGTATGAAGAAATTGCTAAGGAGTTAAGACAAAAAACCAATCAAAATATAACAGGATCAAATTGTGAAAACAGATGGAAACATCTGGAGAGAATGTTCAAGAAATATGTGGACAACAACAATAAAACTGGAAGAGGAAGAAGAGAGTTGGAGTATGCAGAAGCAATGGAAGATGTTTTGGGTAAAAAACGAAACATTCATCCTGTTGTATTATTGTCATCCGACACAGTTATTCATCCAACAACACAGGTGGTTACAGGAGATAATCCTGAAAAGGAAAATCTTCTAGAATTTCCTAAAACCAAGGAGCTACTCAGCACGAGCAGCAAGGCAACTGATGTAACAGCTCCTCAAAGGATTACAAATATGAATAAAAATAAAAGGGTTAAAGTTACAATTTTATCTGAAATTCGGAAAGATAGAAAAGAATTTTACAACAAACTTTTGGAAATTGAGGAGAGAAAATTCACAGAAAAAAAAGAAAAAATGACATTCTACAAGAAAAAAATGAATAAAACAATATTTAGAAAGATCTAATCCACACCTTGATATCCTTTAAAATGTTTAATTTTTTTGTTCAAAGAATTTAGACGTTAAGTTTTGAATTACATATTTTAAGAGCATTTTGTTATGTTTTTCTATATTTATTTAGATCAAATTTAAATTAAAATAAAAAAGTTTTAAATTGTACAGTGTTTTTATTTTAGTTAGAGAATTTCTTTGTTTTTTTGTTTATTTATTTTTTCATTATTTAGTTGATTAATAAACACTACTTGTTTTAAATCTATTTCAAAAAGCTTTTATTAAAAATACATGCACATTACATACTAAATTACGAAATTTAAGCTATTCATTACTTCATTTCTTTTTGTTATCCCAGTTTGTTCATCCTGATTTTCATTTCCTGCATCTCGCCCTGCTTGTCCAACAATTACTTGTAAATTGTCTTCTATTGAAAGGTTGTGCAATACAGCACAGGCCCTTATGAAGTGAACACATAATGAATTTTTGTTCGAGTATGCCGAAGCAGTGCTCAATTACATACCTATCTATTTTTCGAAAGAAGATAATTGTAATTTCTTTGGCGACGAGTCAAATTACCTCTATCTTAAAATGGAGTTAGGCAATATTGTAAACAAGGGTAACCACTGTCTCCAATAATAAAGTGGTTTCCACATTTTTCTTGAAGTGTTCCAAATAATAGTGATGTCCGAAACACTCGACTGTCATGTACGGATACTGGGTATCCGACAAATATATCCATTATTTTACTTTTATGATCGCAAACTTGTGCCTGTAAAAAATAAAATATATTATATATATTTAAACATATATATAAACATTTAAATTAAAATTTGAAATTTTGCTTTCTTACCTGGATCGAAAAAAAGTGCTTTCTGTTAAGGTATGAATCTGGATCAGCCTGTGGCTTGTCAATTTCAATGTGTGTACCGTCAATGACGCCAATAATGCTAGGAAATTCGTCTTGCCTAAAGTGGCTTTCAATTTCAATTTTCTCCTCGTTGGCCATTTTATAAATTCCGCAGAAAGATTGGATAAAAAATACGTCAATCTCTTTACAATTTTATGAAGAGAGCTAATCGTAATCCCAAACCGATCAGATACATCCCTTAAGCTTGCAGCTTCATTGCTTGCATACCATAAAAAGGCCACAACTGGTTTAAAAGGGCTGATTTGTTCAGAGTCACCTTTTTGGGAGTGATAATATTGCGAAGCTTCATATCTGTTTGATAATTGGGTTGCTACTTCCCTGCTTATCCTAAAATGCCCCAAAAACTGTTGATGGTTGAATTGGGGCACAGTTTCCTCACAAAAGTTCTCATTTTTTGGAACTTCAAACAATTCGTTCAATTCTTCCAAATCTTCGTCACTTGAACCTAAATGCATCATTGGCGTCATCTTGAAGGTATATCTAAGATACATGTTTGTTTATATCACAAAGATACATAATTATAGGTTAGGATTTGTTCTGAATTTTAAATCCTTCCGCCTATCACCGGATCTGTCGAACACATTACGAGTACGTTCAGAACTTAACACAGTTGTACCACGAACAACGGATTTTTAATCCCGAGTAACAAATTTTGTCAAAGCGAACGGTCTTTTTTTTAGCGCGCATGCGATGATAAGATGAAGGCGTCCGGGATTCGCTCCGCGAAAAAAAGCTATTTTTGGATTTATCCGATGAGTTTGACCTTCTATCTCTAGTCTTCATCGTCTAATGATACGAGTAACCCAGGAATATATTATTTTGAATGCATCAACAAACTTGTCAACAGCAGCCAACATTTAGGGTCATTCCCCAGGGAAGAGAACCACGCTCACTTTCTGCCAGTGATTCTACTACCTCGTTTTCAAGTTTAGAACAGGGGTCCTGACAAATGCCTTACCTCCATAGCAGTGTTCTAGAACTTTTTACGTCACAGTTTTTGTCACTCCTCATTTATAGGATGAAATGAAAACACTCAAGAATACATTTTTTTAAAACAAAATTTGTTTGGAAAATACCTTAAGATCTGGAGAAGTATGCTGTGCAAAGAGGTCATTGTGACGCTTGAATATGATGGCGCGTAAAAAAAATAAGAATTCTCAAAATGGGACAGAATATTTTACACTGTGACCAGCGTTTCGACCAAAACCCTTCCTCGGAAATACGGGTTACATAAGCGAGTTTCTGATTTTGCTGTATAATCCTTGATTCACCAAAGTCAGCAACTAACTCACGTGACAGTTTCTAAACTCTCGTTTTACAATAACCAGAAATAGTAAAGCATATAAATTAAGGATAAATTAAAAAAAAACCTTTCGGCGGCGTATCTATTGTGTTATAACGTAAGGTCAGGCGAAATTTATCGATAATAATGTAAACGAGATACAACACGCGGAGGTTGTCAATGATACGTTATATAACAAGATAATGGTCATGTCTCAAGGCTTTTGACGAATATACACCGACGATGGTACCAGCATTTAGCCTATAGCTACGATAATTTTGTAGCTTTAAGGGATAATAATTCAGTTCAGGATAGTAATGATAACTCGTGCATGGTGGCAGATTCATCATACTGGAACGCGGAACAAGATTTTTTAATTCGCCTCAAGCAGTCCATGAAATATTGGATCAAGAAAAAAATGGCTTAAAATAGACTCTGCACCTCCTACGAAACGTTGTCATCAGTTCATATGTTCCGCACAAGTTAAACAAACAGGCTCATATAATTAAATTTGCATATTTCGCATGCTTTTCTGAATAAATTTGGAGCTCTTTAGAATTAGAAAAAATGCCGTGCCTCGCTCTCCAAAAAATTTTGGGGGCAATTACGCTTTCACAAGTTATCTCTTGGCGATAATATTTAAGGGTGTGAATCTACATGAGAAATTAGTGTTAGTTTGCTTTATAAACTATGGTCCAAAAATGTTTCCTTACAAAAACTCGGGGTGTTGAAGTTTTAGGAAAAAATGGAAATTAATTAATATTTTCAAAACCGCTTCAGATATTTAACTGATATTTAGTACGCAGTGAAAGTTAATAAAGTGGCATATTTTTCAATACAAAAATAATTTTTAGCTTCAACAGTGGCGTGCGTACGGGTATCGACTTCGATATTTTTCAAGAAAAAAATGGTACGCCAATGGTTTCTTGCCAAATAAAAATTATTTTTGAATTTCCAGCTCAATTTGAAACAAATGATCTCTCTGGAATTGTTTTCCTTTGATGCGCCATATTTGAGTACACAAATAAAAACCGTTCTATTGTCTAACTTGCAAAATTATTATTAATTTAATTAGGAATTAAACACATTAGGGGTAATGAACAACAATAACTGACAACATAAGCATAACATTGAAATCAATGAATGAAAATGATTACAAAAATTGTTGAAAATGACCCCCTTCACTTAGTATGCATGCTTCCGCCCTCCTTCTCATGGAATTGCGCACTCGTTGAAATATCCCTGGAGTGTTTTTTATTCTATCACAAGCTGCAACTATTCTTTCTCTTAATTCCTCTACAGTTTTAATGGGACTTGTGTAAACTAGTGTCTTAAGATAGCCCCACAAAAAGAAATCTAAACTGACCATACCTTTGGCAGCGGTGACACTGCCCAATAAGTCTAGAGTTCTTTTGAACTTCAACTCTGATTTCTAGACCCTGCAGCTCATGTTCATTGAACAGCTGCTGGGACTTTTCAATCTTGGGCAGTATCACGACCACCAAAGGCATGGGTGCGCCGCCATTGCGTTTGAGTCGGATAATGTGGAGAGGATCCCCTCTGTTCTAATTCCCCTTTGATCTCCTGTTCCGAAAACATTGCGGGTATGCCTCTGACTACCGCGTGAATATTTCGTTCTGAAGGAAGAGGGAACGTATGATGGGGCACGTCCTCCTCCCTGAACAGGCGAACGATTCTTCGGTAGTCATCCTCAGTTTTCGGCAAAATCCTGATTCCCGCATCAACGGCAACTGCGCGTTCTATCTTAATGCCTTAGACGTCGCCACTTGGGGTCGCATCACGCAAAACAATGGGCGTGATTCGCCCCTGGCGGGGTGCTGTGCTGGTCAACTCACCAGCAACGTGAGATTGTTGAGATAATGCACCGTCAGTCGATGCAGTGGCCAAAGATTGAGAAGATGTGGTCGCTGCATCGACCGTCATAGGACAAGTGGCAGAAGTTGATACGTTTAATGAAGCAGAAGGTTTTGAGGGGACTGTCAACTTGAATTTTGATATTGCTTTTGGAAGAGGTGGGAAGTCATCCGTATTGTCGGTTTTGTTCGTTTTGTCGATGCGTCTTTTCCTAGACTTGGCCTGGATAAATCATTCTGTATTTCATCGTCGGTCGATGTCACGTCAGTTAAATTTTCAAGAGGTCTTTTTAAATTGACAGCATTGTCAGAATTAGAATCAAAATTTCCTTTGATTTCATGGTCTCAGTCAGCTCCTTTATTTGCTGGGCCTGGCTTTCGATGATCAGGGTCTGGCGCTGGATGGTTCTGTCCTTTTCGTCTGCTACAGCTGGTGTGATCAATTCCTTTGATTTCATGGTCTCAGTCAGCTCCTTTATTTGCTGGGCCTGGCTTTCGATGATCAGGGTCTGGCGCTGGATGGTTCTGTCCTTTTCGTCTGCTACAGCTGGTGTCACCAATTCCTTTGATTTCATGGTCTCAGTCAGCTCCTTTATTTGCTGGGCCTGGCTTTCGATGATCAGGGTCTGGCGCTGGATGGTTCCGTCCTTTTCGTCTGCTACAGCTGGTGTCATCAATTCCTTTGATATCATGGTCTCAGTCAGCTCCTTTATTTGCTGGGCCTGGCTTTCGATGATCAGGGTCTGGCGCTGGATGGTTCTCTCCCTTTCGTCTGCTACAGCTGGTGTCATCAATTCCTTTGATATCATGGTCTCAGTCAGCTACTTTATTTGCTGGGTCTGGCTTTCGATGATCAGGGTCTGGCGCTGGATGGTTCCGTCCTTTTCATCTGCTACAGCTGGTGTCATCAATTCCTTTGATATCATGG